GTTAGAGAGTACGGTTAGGGTATAAGTTAGGGGGAAGGTTGTACGGAGGATTTTATCTTTTGGTTGAATTGTGTTTGTCTTGTTAAGCAAGCGAGGGAGAGTTTCCCCACCCTCTCGAATAGGTGGGTTAGCGTTTTGTAAAGCCTTAGGGCTCCTTTGTTCTTGCAGTAATAGAAATAGTGAGGAGATACCTCACATAAAGCTTGACTCAAGGGGTTTTGTTCACTCTAACTGTCAAACATCTTCCCCAATTATCTTCCTAAATTCAGACCCCCACCAACAAACCAAACTTTCATCAAGATGAATCAAATACCTACCCAAAAAGAACAAAATTCTTCATATGGGAACTCGCCCATAAAGGTATCAATACCGCCAACAGACTGCAAATGAGGCTGCCGTTCATCTCTCTCTCCCCTTCCTGGGGCATTCTTTTGAAAACAGATGAGGAATCTCCCTCCCATCTTTTCCACACATGCACCTTGGCCTTACATTTTTGGAACAAGATCCTACAAGCCTTTGATTGGTCAATCACCCTGCCTCTTGATATCCTCGATCTCCTCTCACTTGTTCTTCTGAAACATCCCTTCAAGAAAACAAAGGCGATTATGTGGAAGTATCTCATTCGTGCCTTTCTATGGAATTTTGTAATGAAAGGAATCACAGACTCTTCCTAGATAAGGAGCTATCTTTCAACACTCTTTTTGATAACATCCTATTTACTGCTATGTCTTGGTGTAAATCATCCCCTTATTTTCACTCTTATAGCATGACCTCAACGTATACCTTTTAAAATATTGACTTTATTAATATATGCCTCCATGCATTCCACCAAACCTGAAGAGGTGCTGGAACAAACACACCCGCAATCATCTCCAAGGACTTGAAAGGTCTCTAAGCTCTATAATCTATATATGGATAGGGATATTCTGAAATTTAGCCCACCTATCATATTAAGGGACAGCACTCATTCTGCCATTTTTCTCTTCATTCCAGAAATCAAATCTTAAAAGAAACTTCCTATTTTTCTCTTCATTCCATTAGTCAAACTTTAACAGAGAGTTCCTATTTTTTTCTCCATTCCAGAGTTAAACTTTAAGGAGATATTTTCTATTTTTCTCTTGATTCCAGAAGTCAAACTTTAAAGACAAATTTCCTACTTCATTCCAGAAGTCAAACTTTAAAGAGAAATTTCCTATTTCATTCCAAAAGTTGATCTTTGAAGAGTATGTCCCCCATCTGGTGTAAACATCTTTTGACGTCCTCCTCTGCGGCCAATAATTTTGTCCAAGGAGCCTCCCATTTTACGGTTGTTCACCCAGCACTTCTGCAAAGACTTGTCTTTCTGCCCAAAACCTTATGTAGGAGAGAAATGTGAGTTCCTTTTTCCCGTTTAAAAAGAATTTGAAAGCAATTTCCAGTGGAGACGTGTGGAACACGATGATTCTTATCAGCTTTTCTCTAGCCGGAATGAACACATTGGACGTCTGACCATTATTCAAGACTTTTGAGACTTCGACAAAACTATTATTTTGTTGGTGACTTTTGGAAATTCAAATAGAACCATTTTGTCTCTGAATCACAACAACATTTATTTGTCTCCTGTTAATATGCTACCCGCTTTTGGAATGACCTCCTATCAACATTTGGATGGATCACTGCTCTCCCTAACGACCCCCCTCTATTTATGGAAGCAAAACTTTTGGCCAGGGTCATCCCTTAAAAGAGGAGAAAAAGCTCCTTTGGAAGAATTTTGTTCGAGCCTTTCTATGGATAACTTGGAAGGAGAGGAACCATCGTATCTTCAAAAGAAAAGAGTTATCTTTCGATCGGTTTTTTGAATCTATTGCTTTCTTGGTCATATCGTGGTGTAAATGCTCCCCCTTTTCCACAGTTATAGTCTTTCATCTTTACTATATAGTTGGAAAAGCTTTTTGTAGTCCCTCTTTTGGGTCTCTTTTGTAATTTCATACCTCAATGAAATTTTTTCTTCTACCATAAACAAACAGAACCATTTTGTGGGATTTCCTAAAGAACTTTAGTTCAGAGAGATGACTAGCATATCTTCCAGAAAATCAACAAGCCAGACAACAATTTGTTGTTTTTGTTGTTCTAAAGACATCACGTACAGATTAGAATGGTTTTCACTCTGAAAGAAAATTCTCTTTCCTTGTTTCCGCATCAGGGTCAACTGTGAAGAGCTTCACTGCAATCCTACACTTCTGGGTTGTAAAACTCTTCATGGCATCGACAAAGTCTTTGGATAATCTTCAACAAATTTAACAACGAGTGTATTCCTCTACTGGTTAGTTTTTGGAGCAAACCTTAATAAGTCGTAACCTCAAAAGTAGCCAAGGTTCTTTGTGACAATGCTATCATAGCAGGACTGTTGGAACTTGGAATTCTGGAAAGAAAGAAATGGAAGAGTCTTAAAAGATTTTATTTAGTTCTTATTATTGTTATTTTGTGGAGAAACCAAACTTTCGTTGAAATTTTTCAAAGATACTCGAAAGGGATTTGTTTCATACTCTTAATATGGTTATCTTTTCAAACTCCAATTTGAGTTCTCTCTCTAAACCCTTTTGTAACTGCACTACTTTCCAACGTTTTACCAATCAGATCTCTCCTATGCTGTATTTGATCCCTTTTTGGCCCATTTTTATGTAATTATTTTCACTTTACTTCGTGAAAGTCTATATTATTATTCCCCATGAAAAAGGGAAAAAAATCTTACTATTTAATACATACTAATCTCAAAGCAAGGATCAGAGAATCTGAAGAAGTTGTTAAATGATTGTTGTATAACTGACTTATTTACATAAGAGATCCCAAGTTCTATAAGTTATTATTACTTCCAGGGAATCATTCAAAATTTTTATTCTATGGACAAATAAAATGCTTTCCAGTTTCCATCTGTTATGTATATCATTTGTCTTTCTTCAGAAAATTGTAACAATGGCGCATAAACATGGTGCTCTAGTATTGGTAGATAACAGCATAATGTCCCCTGTGTTGTCACAACCACTGGACCTTGGAGCAGGTATCGAGAATATTTTCTTATTTCAATGTTAAGAAATTTCAACACTGCTTTGAATATTTATACTCACTTAGGTCTTTGATTGCAGACATTGTTATGCACTCAGCTACCAAATTCATTGCTGGACACAGTGATGTCATGGCGGGTGTGCTTGCTGTTAGGGGAGAAAGGTTTTTACTCTTGCACTATGTTTTTTTTTTTTTTTTTCAGGAAATTGCACTATGTTTTCTGACTGCTGAGATACAGAAAAATTTTTTTATTTTTTATTTTTTGTAATTTCCATTTAATCAAGTTGAAATCTTAGGCTAAAAAAAAGAAAGAAAAAAAGGCTGTGTAACTTTGTGCTTGTTATATGCATATTCAATTATATATATTAGTAATTATGTAAACTTCGTCAGAGGTTGTTATTGACATATTTATGAGGAAGAATACAAATGCACTTTGGAAAATACAGGACTAATTCCAGGTACAGTTTGGGATTTCACAATTGATTTTAGTTCCAGGTGATTTTAGTGTAATTCTATGGCAAGAAATGGTAATGCCTCTAAGGGGCAGTCCAGTTGGCAAGGACTTGGGGTCTCTTGGTCATATTGGTCTAGAAAGTTCAAACCTTCAGGTGAGTTCAATACCAAAAATATTTGATGTCTCCCAAGTCTGATCCTTGGGGCGGGCGTTGGTGCCCCTGGGTATAGAGGAGCAAAGCTCCGACTCCCGATTATTAAAAAAAAGGAAAAAAATGTAAAATTAATCTCACCTTTTTCACCTATTCTAATAATGCTCTTCCCATTTAGAATACTGCGTTATGTTCTACCAAATCCCTCCTGCTTGATATGTGCTCTATGGTGACTAATTTTCAACATTTTAAATCCATATGGGAGATATGTATCCAAAAGAATCAAATTCTTTCTTTGAGAACTTACTCACAGGGCATACACACTCAAGATTTCTGCAGCATCGATTACCTCATTTATCCATTTCTCTAGTGGTGTATCCTTTGCAAGAAAGATGTGGAATCACGAAATCTTATTTTCCACACATGGACCTTTGTATCGAGATTCTAGATGGAGATTCTATCATATTTTAAATGGACAGTGGTTTGCCCCTCAATATAAAGAACCTTTTGTCAGTTATGCTTGTGGGCCACCAATACAAGGATTTTTTTTTTTTTTTGGTGTAAGAAACAATTTCATTGATGTGTGAAATTACAAAAGCCCAAAGAAGCTCCCTTGATTGCACATCATTAGAGCTTTCTTTTGGACAATTTGGAAAGAAAGAAACCAAAGGTTGTTTTTTCCTGAAAAAAGTTTTCTTTTGACAGGATTTTTTATAATATTATCTTCCTTGCTATTTCATGGTGTAAACAGTTACCTCTCTTCCATTCTTATAGTTTTGTTTCACTATTGGTTAATAAGAGAAGTTTCCTGTAACTCCGCTCTCTTCTTTCCCTCATTTTGTAATTTCATACATTCATGAAATTGATTCTTATCCAAAATTAAAATAAAATAATAATACTGCTTCTAGTTCAGAGTTTAAAAAGAAAGCTCTTCAAGTGATGTTTCTGCAAATTTATAACTATCTTTACAGCTAGAGTATGTTAAGGCACGATTACTGACTTCCTAGTAAGTAGGATGAATTCACGCAGTATAGAAGAGAACATATGGCTGGAAAAGAGTTTCTAACGTCTTTTAGTAGTTTTTGACTTTCTAGGACAGTGGGTGTATGGATTTGGGTATTTTTGGTAGCAGCAACAATACTTATTTTATTATTTTTGTTCGTTTGACGTTGTGTGTGTGAAGATTTGAAGCCGTCCAGGTTAAGTTGTTCTCCTCTTTGCAAGTCTATATGGAGCGATTAATACCCTAAAAAGATAGTTCTTTCTATGGAGGTTAGTTTGAATGGTACTAATACTTATGATCAATACCCTAAAAATATTAAGTTCTTTCTATGGAGGTTAGTTTGAATGGTACTAATACGCATGACGAATTGCAAAGGAGAATGCCATATATGCAAATCTGTCCACATAGGTGTGTTCTCTGTAAAGAAAAGGGAGAGTCACTGGGCCACTTATTTATAACATGTAACTTCTCTATGAAATTTTGGAACATAATCCTCTCTTCTTTAGGATGGTTCACTGACTTTCCTTCTCACGGGCCACCCTTTCACAAAGGAGAAAAAGTTTCTATGGATGCACTTCGTTCAAGTGGGCTATTGGTATATTTGGATGAAAAGAAATCATCTAATTTTCAAGGAAAAGGGCTCCCCTTTGATCGTTTTTTGAATCCATTGTTTATTTGGTCGTATTTTGGTGTAAATGTTCTCCATCTTTCCATGATAATAGTTTTACAAACTTGGTATCCAACCAGAGATGTTTTTTGTAACTCCCGTAAATAGGGTTTTCTCCCATTTGCTCTCATTGTTCCAGCTTGGGAAAAGAATTGTATTTCTTAGAAAGTCAGGCTACTATGTTTGAGATTAATCGAGCTGCACACTATCTCAATGAAATTGTTTCTCTTTGGAAAAAAAAAAGTATTCTCCTCTTCTAAATCAATGTCTAAGACATTTGTAGATTGTTGTATTAGGGAGGCAGTCTTTGCTGCGTATGTTACTAAGTGAATATGAAGCAGTGGTACTGTTCAGAAAGGAAAAAAAATCATGCTTGGGTTTGACTGGATAGATGCATACCTTTTTGCTTTTACCACATGTTGCCGAAACCATTAGTTATGATATCTCAATTAGCTTTATCTTGTTCTCATTGTTCCAGCTTGGGAAAAGAGTTGTATTTCCTCCAAAATGCAGAAGGATCTGGACTAGCTCCATTTGACTGTTGGGTTTGTTTAAGAGGAATCAAGACACTGGCCTTGAGAGTTGAAAAACAGCAGGTTCCAATTCTGACCTGCATTTTATACTCTTTCTCTCCATTCTATTTTTTTKAACAAGAAAAGAACTTCTCATTGAAATAATGAAAAGGAAAAAAATGTTCAAGGATATAAACTCTGGAGAGAGGGAAAGAAAGAGAAAAAGCAGAAAATAAAACATAAAATTCATTTCTCAGATTCATGTTGCTTTTCTAACACGATTGGTAGTATTAGTTTTATGTTAACTTTATATCTTCCATCCTTGTTCATTTTTTGGGTACTAATTTGTGGTATGCTTTGGCTCAAATTTTTGTGCTCATTGAGGCCAAATGGCAACGATTGAACAACTTGTGTGTTTCTGACAAATCTGCTATCAAGTGGTTTATTCTGAAATTACAGTTTTCCAATGGTTTAGTGTTGGTAGGATTTCAGAAATCTAAAATTTGAGGAAAAGGCACTATTTGTATGGTTCATTTGATGTTTCATTCTTAGTTATGACAAGTGAAGTGGTAAAAAACTGGCATAAGAAATGCAGCTATCAGTCCATGTGAACCACTTTGGTGAAACCCTTTCCTTTTCACACAACGATGATGAAATCACAGACTCACAGTCAACTGACTAATAAGCATTTTCAAGGTCCACCTTATAGACACCCACAACACACCCTTCCTAGCTTTAAATATCATCCATGACCTCATTTGCTATGAAAACAGAATCAGTTATCTCCATGTTTCTAATGAAAAGGAATTGATTCCGTTCTCCGTGGTGATGTTTGAACGGTACATTGAGAAGTGGTGACGATTATAAACAATATGTGGATTCGAGAAGAATCATTTCAACTTAATTTCTGATAGTGTTTTTGGGCCTTTCGTTGGTGTTACTTGGTTTTTAATGTTTGTTCTTATTCAATTGGATCGTATTGCTACTTGTTGAGCTCATCGTTTTCTTGTTTTGATTTTTCCTTTTTCTATCACTCCTCCAGGGCTTGTATCCTAGGTAATTTTCTGATTTTTCTTCTATTCATTTCTTGTTTTATCTTCTCAAAGTTGTGGCCTTCATTTCCTTCCAACTTTGACTTCTGGCTCTGATAATGTATTTAATTTAAACTGTAATAACACTGTTTACTCCATTATTTATTTCTAAATGTATACATGTATATGAGACGATTCCTTTCTCAATACTGTTGTGATTAATAGGCAAATGCACAGAAGATTGCTGAATTTCTCTATTCACATCCACGGGTGAGGAAAGTGTACTATGCAGATCTTCCTACTCATCCTGGCCGTTCCTTGCATTATTCTCAGGTACAATATTCAACAAAAGTGTAATCTCATAAAATAAAAATTTTAGTAGCTTTAGCCTTTAATCGTACAAAGGAAAGAAAAAATAGCGGAAGGAAATTTCAGAATTAGTGAAGTTGGCTTGGAAATACATGGATAAAAAGAAAAAAATAAAGTTAACCACGTAACTTAAGGTTATCTTCGATGTTTTTAGGCCAAAGGAGCGGGGTCCGTATTGAGCTTTCTGACTGGATCACTGGCACTCTCCAAGCATATTGTTGAAACAACCAAGTATTTCAGCATTACTGTCAGTTTTGGTAATCAAACTCTTCCCTATGGAGTTGATAACACTCTTTATCGTGTCTACTAGCAAGTAGAGATAATTATATGAGAAGTTGCTTTAGGCAAGACAACAGAAAAGACAATATAATCGCAAGGAAAACGATAAATGGTCGGGTTTTTATTATTGAAGTAACTTCAGATATTTATGTGATCCTAAGGATGTATCATCGACACTAGTTCGAGCTCGGAAATAGTAATCTTGCTCGTCTCAGATTTTAACTCTAGTAGTATTTGCATGGTCTATCTAATAAGTGTGACATATATACTGTGTGGCATGCTAACAACCTTATAGGTTTCTCAATCCCATACTAGATGGCAGGTTGTGGAAGAATATTCACATAAATTTCCGTTTCGTTTCTTTTTAGCAGATTTATAGAATTTCAGTCGCTTGGACCCTGCTTTTAATGGTCAAGAGTTTGATTATATCACTATTTTTAAGATAGGGTTACTTGGATTGTTGTGTGTTTTTTTCTTATGCAAATTACATGTGTTTATATGTTTGAGTTGAAGGTTCCTTAGCTTAATCTCTCTAGTTTTAAGGTTTGTATTGTGCTATTTTATTTCTTAATTCAAGAACTATTGGCTTTTGGCATTTGGTAAATTGTTGTCTTTCCTTGCAGGTAGTGTGAAGTCCCTTATAAGTATGCCTTGCTTTATGTCTCATGCAAGCATACCCGCTGCGGTGCGAGAAGCTAGAGGTCTAACTGAAGATCTGATTCGCATTTCGGTCGGTATCGAGGATGTGAATGATCTTATAACTGATTTAGACAATGCGCTTAGAACTGGACCAGAGTAGGAGTTAGCACGTCCGAACTCAAGCAATCTGGAGCCTGATGATGATATAGGTGAAAGCTTCTACAGCAAAACTCTTGAGTCTCGGCCTCGGCCTCGGCCTCACATTCTTGTATCAGGGATCAAGCATATTTATGTACCAAGATCAGTTTTGAATTTGGGTTGTGAAGTGAGAATGGCATCTGCGAACATTGCATTTTGTATTGGAACTTTTTGCATTTGGGCTGATGGTACAAAATATCAATATCAACTACCAATCTTCTGGTGGATTTTGAAGTTTGAAAATTCACCCAATTAAAGAAAATTTTTTGCATATAAATTGCTATTTTATATACTTCTATAATCAAAGAAAGGTTATAAACTCATAAATTTTTGGAGTCATTAGATTTAAATTAGGTTTTTGAATTTTGAAAACTGTCTTAGGTTTTTGAATTTTCTTTATATCTAATAAATCTATAAATTTTTAAAAGATATTTAATAGGTCATGGATCTATAAGACAAAATCAAAGTTCAAGAGCTTATTAAGCACTTTTAAAGTTCAAGAATGTCTCCATTAAATAGATACTAAATATTTTAGATTTACTAGACAACCGTAAAAGTTCAAAGATTTTAAAGATTCCTTTCTATTCACTCTATCTCCTCTTCCATTTCATCTGGATCTTCCTTTTCATTCGAAAAAATGGAAGGAGAAGTCTCTTCTCTAGATCGAGATCCCTCTTGTTCCCGTTGAGCCTCCATTTCAAAAGTGATTTTTATTTTTATGTCTATTTTTTCCTCGCTTTTTCTTGTTTTCTCTATTTCTTTCAATTTCTTAATAACGATGGGTGATGGTATTATGCTAAATAGTAGACACAGGAATAAATAAGAGAACACTAGAGATTTGAGCATAAAATTTCTCAATCCTAACATAACATTACAAGTCCAAATATGTGAATATTCCAATTTGTCTGCTTGTGAGATGATCAAAATTGTTGATTTGAATATGTACCACCTATATGCCATATTTCCATGTTAGATTCTCAAGAATCTGTTGAGATTTTCATTCCCAAAATGAATGGTAAATGAAAGTTTCAAACACTTGGAATTGGGATAGGGAGACCAAATATGACGCATAAATTTCCTACCCAATTCCACAAGGCATACACATATCAATATCATTGAATTCATCAATAAAAAAAAAAATGACCTCTCCAATCAGATATCGACACTTGTAACATATAAAAAACCCACCTCAGGAGACTTCTTCAATTAAAGACAGTATGGCCATCTCCATGAATTCAATGCTCAACTTCAACCCAACCAACATCCTGTATTGATTCTAACAATCTCTACACTCAGCATAATCATCGGATCATTACAATCACTTCTTCCAATACCGCAATCATCAATCAAAACATCAAACATTAAAAGGTTAATAGATTGTTTTCAGAATCACTGTGATATATTATTTCCATTCTTGATGTTAACCTGTGCTCTAGTAATCTGGAGCTGTGCTGTGTTCTAAAGGAAAACTCCTTTGTCGCTGCATAATGATATCAGTGGAACTGGCGCATATGAATCAGTAAGTTTCGGTATAAATTGGAAAGCCTTCTCCAGCTCTACAATGATTATGTACAATCATCTGCACAAGTATAGCAACAAAATCATGATATTTGATGCATCAATTTTAAGGTTGCCAGCAAACCCATGTGCCTTTAATCATGTACAACTGCTTTAAAAGTTCATCAATAAGCAGCTTGCATGCTCCACATGTCTGTAAAATACATTACATAATGTACATTTCTTCTTCACTGCATTAAAAAGTAGAGAAGATTGTGTTAATAAATTACTACGAAAAAGCAGACATGGACAAGTTTTTGCCCCCATATGCAGCTGCCTACACTAATATCGAATGCTAAGAATCAAGATTAACTATAAGTTAACAATGACTTCATGACTAAATTGACATGAAAATAGTTTAAAGGCGGATAACTCGTAAAGTTCCAATACTAATAATAATATAGCCTGAAGTTCAAATGTGTAACTGTGGGTTATTATTCCCCCTGCAAATAGATAATAGTGGTAACACTAGAATAACTGAAGTGTAAATACGTTTAAGAACCATTTCATATGTGACGTGCATTCTCATTCACATTCTACTTCCTAGAATCATACAGCTGAAAAGTCGTGTGTTGTAAGTAAATGTAAATACTACTTGGTATAGCAGTCATGAATTCTCCTTCGATGTTCTTTTGCCTTACAGGTGTGTTGGGTCCTTGATGCTAAACTCTCTTGTCGTATCTTTATATTTACCTAAGTCGACTGGCTTCTGTAAGCTCTCAAGAGCTCTGAAGTGAATCAAAGACTTGTTAATCACATCCTTCTTATGATCAACCTTGATCAGAAGGCTTTTCATTTTTAGTCCTTTTGGAGGGGGAGGTTCCCTTTTCCTCCACCTCCCAAAGATATCATTTTTTCCCCTAATAAAAAAGAAATTAAAAAAAAAAAGAAAGAAAGAAAAGGACAGCTTGGAGATTTAGCAGATCTTAATATATCCTTATTTGGTTGAATATAAAGATTTTAAATGAAATTTAAATCTCCAATGAACCCACAAGCAATCCATCTCAATGAGCGTGTCCCCTCAAGGAACCCCATTCTCGTAAAAAGTAATCGGATACCAAACAAAGTACTGTCGTGATTTCTTCACACTGGAGAATGGATAGAGACCCCCCAAAATTTAAGTGGACCAACTTGAAATAAAAATGGTGTACCACATACATCTGTATGTGTATAGTTGTCTTCATTCTTCTAGGAAGAACGGTAACAGAGAAGCATACATTTATAAAATGATCAATTAAGTACAAATAACTTACCAGCTAATTGTGTCTGAAGTCTTCATAACTCAAGCTCTCTGATACAGTGTCCAACCTTTTGCTATCTTTAAATGCRCAGAAATTTTAAGTCAGGAACCACTTGTTGAATATTACAAGCAAGGATCGACATATACAGAAAATTCATTACCAAGACGGTCTCCATTCTCACAATTATCAAGAATGTTATCAGCCTCTGGTGGTAAAAAGGGACATCTGGCATAGCTATCCAGTATATCTGGCAATTCAAAGTCGTCATGTTATTATAACTGATGATACATCTATATGGTCTACTCTCTTTCCCTCCTCTTTTTTGACATTATAAAGGAGAAGCTTAACAAAAGGGAAAAAGTTTGATTTCTTTTCTTTACTATGATCCTGAATATGTTGGACAACACTACTTCAATTTACAATATGTCTCATTGATAAAATAATTACCTTCTTGAACACCTCTTATAACTGAAACTTAAGAGAATACGATACATTATAAATTAAGATAGGGAGTGAAAGATAATACCTGAACCCTGGGAAAACTCTGCTGTCAGATCTGAGAGACTAAAATTCCTGGTAATTGGACTAATGAATCCAAATGAAGAGGGATCCGGATCAAGAAGTGATTCATTGAAGGACGGTGTGTTGGAATCAACACTAGCAAAAGATGCAACTGATGCGTTCCCAATTGATTGACGTGCATCAAGGACATTTCCCTCTGTTCCAAACATGTAGGGGGAACTGTTTGAATATCCAGTTTCTAGCTTTATCATCCCTCCATTTATTCCTTGAAACAGACCTACATTTGAGCTCTGAGGTGCAGCATCATTCATGCCATGAGAAGACATGTCCACTGCAGTGTGCATAGTTGAGTGTACAGGTTGGGTACCATTAGAATATGCATTGCCTAAGCTGACACCAACAGGGTGGTCTATGTCATCTTGTTTCAAAGCAGGTCCTGTATGCTCCGGAGCATAGCAGCTTTGATGTACTGTAAAATAAAGTACTTTGATTTCATTGCGATACTAACAAATTTTTTAAAACTTAAGGACACAGTTCTAATAAATTTTTTAGAACTGAAGGAAACAGTTGTACATCCTATAGCCCATTCAAGTAAGGTGCTCAATTAGAAATGCAACTTCTTCAACCACAATACCCCCTAAAAGAGGGGAGAACAACTTAAGGGCAGAGGCCAAGAAGACCTCCCTAAAGAACTAACGCATTACAATTTTCCAATCTTGAGAAATCTGGGTTAACCTGTAGTTACAAAAGAATCTCATATGATTAAGGCACCAAGAGGCCATAATAATCTTATACGTTTTCACAAAAAATGTCAAAAGGAAGTGTTGTGTTGTAGAAAACTCATTGATTCCTTTCCTTCAAAATACTCCAAAAAAATAGAATAGCAGCACAACTCCAAAGTATCTTAGCTTTTCCTTTCAAAACCACCCCTAAATTACTTCGAGAAGCCAATCATCCACCAATCCAGGGAGGCACACAGAGAAACCAAACTCATTCAACATAAACGCCCAAAAATTGGTTGCAAAAGGACAGTGGAGAAAAGGTGGTCAATAGACTCTTCTTTCCTTGGACAAAGGCAGCAGACTGAAGGGGATAACAATAGGGAGAAATCTCTAACCTCTCTTTTTCTTCATCTTCTTTTTATTTTTATTTTTATAAGAGAAGGGACCTCTTCTTATTATTAAGAGATCAGATGCATTGTAGCTGGCATGTAATTATAAAATTATCCTCGGTCAATAAATCATTACTCTAATCCAATATTGAAGTGCAATGCAACAAATAACATACGAAGATGAAGCTCCCAACTAGGAGAAAAGCAGCCATACCAGGTTGGACGTGGGACCCGTTAGAACTAGATAGTGCAGTCACAGCACATGGATGTATCTGGTGCATCATTCTTGCCTGCTGTTCAAGCAACCGGTTGAACTCAATAATCTGGCTCTTCACCATCAGTCTCAGATAATATGCATTGAAGAATTCCTGATTCTCCTCTTCGAGCTTCTGCCAAACTGGAACAGAAGCAATACAAAAGGTTTTGATTACCATCGGTGAAGTAAACATAAAAAAAGGTAGTGAAAGTGTTTACAACCTGCAATTCTATCTCAATTCTGGTATGGAAGTTAGACAAGGTACTCAAAACCTCAGGTGGTTGTTTCTAGGTCTACGTCCACCTCAAGACTTAGACTTTAGAGACATCAAGGGTTTTCTTTATTAAGGTTTTTTTATACCACTTAACAACTAGATCATAAATTCTAAGTATGACCTTTCATAGTTCAAACCTTCAGTATAGTTTTTTTTGGATGGAAAACCATGCTTTCATTGGTGGTGTTCTTTCATTTCATTATGTTGGCAAGTGTTGGGAGCATTTGTAACCTTTAAATTTTCTAGGCTGTTGGATACCGGCTCTAAGAACAATATTGAACAAATGCCAAGTGGAGCGAAGTTGGAAAGCAAAGCAAGGTTGCTGTGGGTTGATGCAGTAAAAGCTACTTCAAAGAGCATTTAGTAGAAAGAGAAGAAAAGTTGCTAGAACAATTTGAAGATGGTACATTGCAACACAAGCCTCTACCATCTTCAAGAATAATAACTGTCTTTATTAACCAACGGGCATCTTCAAACATGCCTTGGAGACTTGGAGCACAACCAATAAATATGAAGAGATAAAAAAATTTACAAGAAGACTGCTGATAAGAGAATAGCCCCAGCAAAGCTGTTTTTCATCATCAAAAAGCAAACTTTTGACCTTCCAACAGGCTAAGAATGAACTTATAATCTAACTGAAAATATTTTGAAAACAACAGGAGAACAGTTTATGAGAAATCTGAGGAATGAAGAAATGATTATAGTAGTATTTAGGAATTGTTAAAAAAAAAATACAAATCTCTAGAAAGAAAGATAAGAGGCGCTAGAATTTGGATAGTTTGGGATGTCTTGGCCTCTTCCTAACAAAACCCTTTTGTGACAGCTTTCAGGAAGACAAATAGTAGTGGAAAGGTGAACGTGTTAGTTTGGCTAGCGTTTTTTAAAAGTCTAAACATGACTGATAAAAGTTTAAAGCAAATGTCAAGGGTGATCCTTGAATTTAATTTACTGTTTACTCTGGTTCGAGGCATTTGGTTTGAAAGAAATCAATGGCTTTTCAAGAATAAGAAAGTTTGATCTGATATGATAAGTTCTATGCTCTTGCCAGAGAGTTCTGCAATCACTCGTTTTATGAAATTAACTTTTATTGGGGAGCTTTCTAGTAATCTTATTTCCGATTGTGGGTTATGTTTTAGATGTTTATCTGCTTTGGCTGCTTTATAGTATAGTCTTAAAAGGGAGTCTTTAGTTTGTAACTTTTTTCAAATATCAATAAGAAGTTTCTGTTTCTTTGTCAAAGGAACAAAAAGAAGAAAAAAGTATGCTGCAATCGTTGAGATTCTTATCTCTCAATTTCCTAATTAATCGTCTTCATACATGATTATTTTTTAAGCCAATAGCTGCCATATTATCAACTTTTAAATGCATCATCAATCGTTTTCCTCTACATCCACATAATTTAAATGCTATAAATCTACTATACATTTTTTTTATGGTTGACTCATTACTCATCTGACTAAACTAGCTAATGCCATAGCACATAATACTACTACTATCTTCCACTTAGGTGTTGTTCTACTTCTAACAACACTGTCAATTAACCGATATCATTTACACCATGATTGTGTTCTTTCCATTATTAAATATGGATGACAACTGATCACAATAACTTGATCACAACTGCTTACGGTCATACAAATGAAAACACATGAACACACGGTTTTAATTTTTATCTCGCAGGTCCTAGTCACAGTCAGATTAATATGAGTTTTGGCTAACAAGAGCTTTGTGAGTGGGAGGAAAAACAAAGAAGCACATTATTTTACTAATTAAATAAAAAAATGGTAACCAAACCCATGATATAGATCATAAATCCATCACCTACAGAACAAACCAGCAAATATGTAAGCAATAACGTTAGAAAATAAACATTTAATACATGATTACCTTGCTCCGTGAAACTAGGGTCAATATTTTCATGATTCAAAAGTGTTTCTGCGACTTCTTTTCTGCTCATATCAAGCTGAATGCATCGCTCTATAAGACTTCGAACCTAAAATACAAGTACAAATAACTGGATGAGATTAGTCACCTGAAATTAATGCAAATTGGAAGGTGCATCTTTCATTAGAGTGATGGAAGTTAATGCCCCAATAGTGAAAATGGAAGAGAGGGGGGATAGCATCTTCCATAGACTATAGAGATTCTAGGACATGGCCATACTATTATGATGTATTAAAAATATTTTTTTTTTGTGAAAGAAACAATTTCATTGATGTATGAAATTACAAAAGGCCCTTAAGAAGGGTTACATGTAGGACTTCCAATTAACTAATAGGGGAGTGTAACTATCATGATGAAAAAGGAGTGTTCTTACACCAAGTGACAACTTTGTAAACAATAGCATCAAAAAACCTCTCATAAGGTTGTGGTTTATTGTCGACGGTTCTTTGGTTCCGTTCTCCCCAGATAGTCCATAGGAAAGCTCGAACAAAATTCATCGATATGATAGCTTATAAATATTGAAAAAAGGCAAAAATATGTTGTTGGTCCTGTAGTTTGGGATTTGTTTCTATTCGGTCCATATAGATCTAGAATTGACAATTTAGCCCTACGGTTCAATAAATACTATTTTCTTAGTCCCAAAACTCTTAACTGTTAGTTGCCGCTAGTGACTTAAACAACTAAAAAATTAAAAAGAGTATGACATGACAATTAAATATTAATTTGAAAATACGGATGTGACTTTTTTTACTAATAATTAATATTATTATTTTTAAATTAAATTTATTTCATCAATCTGTCGACATTGGCCTCTAACCATCACCCCCTTCCCCTCCCTCCCCATCACCCTTGGGTATTAAAGTCAAAATGAGAACGAGGATTAGCTTTGGTTTGTCACTTGTTTTGGCTAATACTGGAGCTATCTGTGGGGCATCATTCAGGTGTATGAATCTCCCCCAATTGATTGATCGGCCTCCCACCATCGGCTCCTTCCACTCACTCTCATATTTTGGAATCAAAGTTCAAAAGGAAATAGGATCAGCTTTTTCAGGTCACTTATTCTGGCTAATTTTAGAGCATATCTATGGGGCATCATCATTCTAGTGGATCAAGATTTTGGTACAAGGAAACCAGATTCAGGTCACCTTGAAGGACTTTCTGAACTTTTCATATTTAGAGAGAGTGAGAAACATTGCAAACCTTAACTCCCCTAGATTCCATTTTGGTTGATTAGTGCAAACCTCAAAATTTTTTGGACTAAGACATTTGTATTTTAAACATGATATAGAGTATTGAGAAAAGGTCAAATTATGTAACACATACGTGAAAAGAAAAAAAAATAATAATAATAAAATTATGTATTGCTAATGGTTTGATACATTAAAACCAAATAATTCAATATCTTATATGACGAGAAAATTTCAAAATCAAAATGTCTGTAATTGTATGCTTCGAAAACCAGCATGACATTTTTCATTCTAAGTTATTCCACTTCTCTAATATCTCTTCGTTATGTCCATGAACCAATTTTTTCTTAGATAAAATAAAGATCTAATCCTCTAGTTTTCCAACAAATGTCAGAGCATTTTGGATATCCATTACGTGATGACATTGACAACATGCTCAACTATATGTAGCACCCATTGGCATGAACATAAACACAAATAGCTCATATGACATCATCCATAACTCACTCGAGAAAAATAAGTTAAGGAATTTGTTCCATTTGCCTGTAAACTTATGTCATCTGACCTCACAAGTAAGTTCCTCGGGGTAATGGCTCAACTATTTATGAAGGTCTAAACCTGCTTTGTCAGCTATTCCTACAACTAATATCCAGTTCTCTGGGGATCTGTTGGGTTGCAGGAAAAAAACAAATGCAGAATAATGAGCAATTTTGGACCGTTGGGTGAGTCTTAGTCATGAATATGCTGTAAGTTTAAAAACCCGCTTACCAGTTGAATATCTTGCCGTGAGACCCTTCTCACAGTTCCGCTTGACATATTTCTGAGTCCAGAGCATAAGAATTAAATTATGAAATCAACTTGCAGAGCTTATTTGCCTCAAATATTCCACCCCAGCATTCACTAAACAGCCATGAAGACTAAGATTTTAACACCAAAACAAACGAGAAAAAGTATCTTAGTGATCTAGATCATTATATACATCAAAAGGCAGTCAAGAAAGTCTTATTTATGTAGGCAACTTCAGAGAGTCATCCCTCTTTATGGAAGTCTTGTTTCCTAATGAGAGGAAAGAAAAAACCACTAAAACTTCCAATTTTGAGCCTCTTTAGTACGGAACAACATGAAGCCACTTAAAATATTCAATCAACATTTATACACAACACTAATATCTAATCTTTATATCAAATTGAAAAGAGCACATGATAGAAAAATCACAATAAAAAATTGGGCACCAGATTCTGGCAACTGGCACACAGTTTGAGGTAATGACCATATTGATGGAGAAATGAAGTCACCCTCACCCCTATAATTTAGAAGTCACTTTTAAATCGTAATAAATCATCATATAGCTACAAAAATCATCCTCCAGTAACCAAAAATCTGACCCATCAGTGGACAAAATACTCGGGTCAAAGAAGTGAAAAGCGTATCACAGCTGCATAACACTCAAATGTTAAACGGTATCCCAAAGTGAAAACGAAACCAATAATTTATTAGAATTAAAAAAAAATCCAAATAGGTAGCAAAATTAAAAATTAAAAACACAACAAAACAAGTAGCGAGAAAACGACGGCAACTAGGTCTTAAGTCACAAGTACTCAACCGGATAAACATTGAAAATCGTGACCTAATTTAAACTTCAAAGTACCTATTATCCTTCAACACTACTCCATCTAACAATTAAACAGTTCCACACGTAGAACACCACCTTCATAGCACGAAACAAAACAACAGAAAATCAGTTAAAATTCGCATACATAGTAGTCAAGTCAGACAACACATAGCACATCCGATTCATTCAATTCCCATAGCCACGAGAAGCTTGAGAAGGAAAAAAAACCCTAAAACTGACTCGGAAGCATATCTTCAGAGCATCAAAATTCAGAGAATCAAAAACATCGAACCAGAAACAAAACACACACACACAAACAAACAAGCTGAAAAAGAGTAAAGAGAGGCGAAGTTCGTCGATCTTACCAGTTAGCAGGCCGATTCCAAGAGAAGTGGAGATCTTCAGAGCGAACAAAATGGGAATATTTATCAGATAGAGAGAGAAAGAGAAGGGAAAAAAGCAGGAATTTCGCTTTACATGGTGGAGAGGGAACAGAGAAAGCAGAGCACTTCAGTACTGTGCGATTAACAACTAGGAGCGACATTTTCCGGCTCTGGTATTTATAGCAGTGGTAATTTTGTAATTTTCAGATAACTGTATTTAGTTAAGCTAAACATACATTATTTGTGTCCCTATCCGCTACGTTGCATCTGATTCAGAGTAATTTTTTTGTTATTTTCTAACATGTATTTTTTTATTATTTTGTGTCTTAGTTTCAAAGGTTAAATATTTTTTTTCTTGCAATATATTGTAAAAATAAATAAATAAAATAAATACGAATGGGTCCTTTAAGTTTCTTTTGCATAATTTTCAATTGGGTCTTCAATCTTTTAAACTTATCCATTTTACTTTTGACGTATAAAAAAAGAATTCACAGTTTGGTCATTCTTTAGAAAGTTGTTGAATTTTGTTAGCATTGAGTTAATAAATTTAGGCACGTGAAATATGCTCCCTTATATACTACTTACATTAAGTCCAACGGTTTATTTAATAAAATAGTCTATTTATTTTGAATGACATGTTTAAATGACGTACATGTGTTCAAATATATTAACAAAAYAACTGTTTATTTAATACATAAACGCTAGAAATAATTTAATTGAGAAATTCTAATACATTGAAGTTAAAATGGAGAATTTTAGAATATTTAAGACTAAAAATCTAGAAATAGGAACCTTTATATATTTAGTGATTTATTTGGTTTTGTTAATTTTGCATTTTTGGAAATTTATTCGGAAAAGGAAAAGAGGGAAGAAAATTGAAAAGGAGAGAAGAAAGTGATAAGTGGTGCCACGTGGCCAGTCGAGAGAGTTTGTGGGGACCACTAAAGTTGGGATCGGATCGGGATGATTTCATAAGACTTCAAAATTTGGACTTTCAAAATTGAGCTAAATTACAAATTTAACCCTATAAACAAACTCTGGTGACTGTATTGATTAGTTTTCAGATTTTAAAAAATTTAGTTTGGTTATTGTCTAGTTTTATAATTATTTTATTTTTAGTTTTCTGATTCTAAAAGTTAGGTTTATAAAACGTTTAATGAAAATTAAAAATGGCCATTTTAAAAAAGTTGTTTTCATTTTTTAAATTTAAAAAATAATTTAAATACATATTTTTTTAGTACAACAAGTGGGTGGAGGGATTTGAACTTATGATCTTATGGTGAGAGTATGTTTCAATTATCTTTGAGCGTTCATGTTTGCCAAATACATTTTTAAGAAATGTAACAAATATACACAAGAAATACGGAGAAAGTAAGCATAATTTAAAAAAAAAAAATTATTATTATTATTATAAAGTAGTTATCAATGGGGTCGAAACAACAAATCCCAAAATTAACTCTTGGTTGCCCAATAAATACCTAAAATCCCTAAAAATAAATCAAAATCCGCCACGGAACTAGTTACAAATGTCTTTTGATAAGAACATTGATGTATTGAAGAAATTTATAGAAGTGTGGAGCATAACTCAATTAATTAAGACATTTATCTCCGACCAAAAGATCGTAAGTTCGAATCCTTGTCCTCATATATTGTACTTAAAAAATAAAAGAAAATAAAAAAGTCTCATCTAAGCAAAAAAATACTCAAATATCATTGATCACAAGACATATAATTGTCACTATAAATAAAAATCATAATCCCGATAGTGGTGATGGTTGTGTCTAAAAACTTTAAAAAGTATTTATATAAGTATTTTTTCTTTTTTTAGTATAACAAGTAAGGGTGGTGAATTTTAACTCACGATCTCTTGGTAAGAGACATGTGTCAATTACCTATGAACTAAGCTTCACAATTTTTATAAGTATTTAAATTTTAAATATGGTATCTAATAGATTCTTAAATTTAATTCAGAATTAACTTGTAATTCAATGTTTTGAAAATAATGATTTAAATTTTATTCATAAAAAAAAATTTCTCTAAACTTTCATATATCTAAAGTTTTGATCCTTTTTAATCCAAATGTTAAGTAAAGAATTATTTATCCTTGTTATTCTTTTTGTTTTTAATTTAACAAAAAGCTTACACATGTGTGAATGTTGTTTATTCACTGTGTAGAGGTGTGTTTAGGAGTGATTTTGGCATGTATTTTTTCATTGTCAAAATCACTTCCATTTCCATGACTATGTTTCTCAAATTAACAAATTGATTTTAGGAAAGTTTAAAATCACTCTAGATTGATTTTTAAGGTATTACTCGTGGTGTGTTTGGTAATGATGGTAGAATGAGTGATTTTGAGAAAAGAGATTTAGTTATATACCTAAATCTTTTTTATTTTTTACTTTTATTGCTGTTATATATTTTTGTATTTTCAAGGTGTTGGATTTATTGAAATATTGGTTTCTTTTTAAATAAATGACCAATGACTGTCTTAATATGTCGGTTGTCTCGAAATATTAATTTCCTTGAAATAAATGATTAATAGTTGTCCAGTTACTTCGGTTGTCCTGAAATATTGGGTTTTTTTTAAATAAAAAACTAATGGTTGCCTCGATATTCCCTTGCAATGTACAAGTATGAGGATAGTGCGCATACCCCTAGGTATAGGGACAAAAAGGTCAAAGGACCGTCGACTCCTGGGTAATTAAAAAAAAAAATAGTTGCCTCGATATGTCGATTATCCCGAAATATTGGCTTCCTTGAAATAAAGGACCAATAGTTGCCTTGATATGTCTGTTGTCCCGAAACATTGGTTCCCTGGGAATAATAGCCCAATAGTTGCTTCGATATGTCGGTTAACTTGAATCATTGGTTTCCTTGAAATAAATGACAAATAGTTGCCTTGATATGTTGTTGGTCTCGAAATATTGGTTTTATTGACATAAAGAACGAAGATTGCCCCGATATGTCGGTTGTCCAGAAACATAGGTTTCCTTCAAATAAAGGGCTAATGGTTGTCTCGATATGTCGGTCGTACCGAAACATTGGTTTCCTCAAAATAAAGGACCAGTAGTTGTCTAGATATGTCAGTTAACCAAAAACATTAGTTTCCTTGAAATAAACGATAAATAGTTGCCTTGATATGTTGTTTGTCTCGAAATATTAGATTTCTTTCCATAAAGAACGGATAGTTGCCTCGATATGTCGGTTGTCCTGAAATATTGGTTTATGTGAAATATAGAATCAATAGTTGCCTCGATATTTCGATCGTCCGAATACATTGGTTTCCTTCAAATAATAGACCAATAGTTCTCTCGATATGTTTGTTAACTCGAAATATTAGTTTCCTTGAAATAAATGACCAATAGTTGCCTTGATATGTTGTTTGTCCAAAATATTGGTTTTCTTGACATAAAAGACAAATAGTTACCTCGATATGTCGGTTGTCGAGAAACATTGGTTTCCTTGAAATAAATGACCAATCGTTGCCTTGATATATCAGTTGTCTCGAAATATTGTTTTTCTTGAAATAAAGGACCAATAGTTGCCTCGATATATCAGTTGTTCTAAAACATTGATTTTTGTGAAATAAAAAATTCATAGTTGCCTCGATATGTCAGTTGTTCTAAAACATTGATTTTTGTGAAATAAAAAATCCATAGTTGCCTCGATATGTTGATCATCCTGAAACATTGGCTTCCTTGAAATAAAGGACCAGTAGTTACCTCGATATGTCAGTTGTCTCAAAACATTGGTATCTTTGGAATAATTGCTCAATAGTTGCTTCAATATGTTGGTTAACTTGAAACATTGGTTTCCTTCAAACAAATGACCAATTTTTGCCTTGATATGTCGTTTGTCTCGTAATATTGGTTTTCTTGACATAAAGAATGAATAGTTGCTTCAATATGGTGGTTGTCCAAAAACATCGGTTTCCTTGAAATAAGTGACCAATAGTTGCCTCGATATATCAGTTAACCTAAAACATTGGTTTCCTAAATAAATGACCAATTGTTTTTTTTATATGTCGTTTGTCCCGAAATATTGGTTTTCTTGACATAAAGAACGAATAGTTGCCTTAATATGTCGGTTGTCTCGAAAGATTTGTTTATGTGAGATAAAGGATCAATAGTTGCTTGATATATCAATCGTTCTGATACATTGGTTTCCTTGAAATAATGGACCAATAGTTGCCTTTCAAATGTTAGATTTTAGGTAAGCCTTGTCCTGAAACATTGGGTTTCTTATATAAAGAACCAGTAGTTGCCTAGATATAAGTTGTCCAGAAACATTAGTTTACTTGAAATAAAGGACAGATAGTTGTCTCGGTATGTCGGTTGTTTCGAAACATTGGTTTCTGTGAAATAAAAAGCCAATAGACGTCTTGATATGTCGGTTGTCTCAAAACATTTGTTTCCTTTAAATAAAAGACCAATAGTTGCCTTAATATGTCGATTATCTCGAAAGATTTATTTCCGTGAAATAAAAAATCAGTAGCTGCCTCGATATGTCGGTTAACTCGAAAATTGGTTTCCTTGAAATAAATGACCAGTAGTTGCCTTAATATGTCGTTTGTCCCGAAATATTGGTTTCTTTGACACAAAGAACCAATAGTTGCCTCGATGTGTCAGTTGTCCAAAAACATTAGTTTCCTTAAAATAAATGACCAATAGTTACCTTGATATGCCATATGTCTTGAAACATGTGTCTCCATGAAATGAAGACCAATAGTTGCTTTGATATACCGATTGCCTCGAAACATTTGTTTCCTTGAAATAAATGACCAATAGTTGCATTGATATGTCGGTTGTTCCAAAACATTGGTTTTCTTGAAATAAAGGACCAAAAATTGTCTCGATATATCGGTTGTCTTGAAACATTGATTTCCTTAAATAAATGACTAATAACTGCCTCGATATGTGGGTTATCTCGAAACAGTGGTTTTCTTAAATAAAGGACTAATAGTTGTCTCGATATATCAATTGTTTAAACACATTGGTTTCCTTGAAATAGATGACCAAATAGGTTCCTCGTTATGTCGGTTCTCAAGGAAACATTGGTTACCTTGAAATAAATGATCAATAGCTGCCTGGATATGTCGGTTTCATTGAAACAATGGTTTCCTTTATTTAAGGACCAATTGGTTCCTTGTTATGTCAGTTGTCTC